TATAGTCATTTAGGCCATTATGACTTCTTTAAAATTTCCAAAAGAACATATGGACATCATTTCTAAGGTCTAATTGGGGAAAAATAAGTAGCTTTTCAAGATACGTAGATGTACAAAATGTGACCTTTGAACATTTTCAAATTTGTTCAGTACAGCCTGTACCATCTGTTTAATGATCGAGAGGTCTAACTGCAAGTGAGTCAAGCCATTTTGCCAAGTGCAGTGTTAATGATAACAATATGTTCAGCCTAAGAAGTAACAAGTAGCTTTCAAGAATTATAACATAAAGGAATTTATTAAAATTTATTGATAGATGGTATAACATTTTGATCTGGCTCATTGCATCAAGGGAAATAAACATATACAGGTACATTACTTTGAACACATTGCTTTTTTGTGCTATTCTCAATATACAAGAGCATATTGAAACCATTCAAAATGCAATCCAAATTCACGTTTGCTTTGATACTAATTAATGCTGCTATCTGGATTTGTATAATTAACATAACATACATATAGAAAAAAGGTATAAAATTTTCATAAAAATTAATTTTGTTGCTTTTCTAGTATATTACAAAGAGGCAATTTATAATTAAGTAAATGGTAAGTCGTAAAAATATTTATTAAGTAATCACTGAATTAATGAAATACTGATAATTGTTGGACATACACAGAGATGATCCTAAAATGTCAAGTGTCAACACCTTATTTCTTCTTTAAAAAAAGATAAATGTAAACAAACAAAACATCTACTTTAGAAGAAAAAGAAGAAGTACAGATGGCATCTGGCTGTTTAAGATCAATATGCTCAATCATTTTCACATCACAGGTGTTTTCAAACAGCTTGTGAATGGTGTCTGGATGAACGGAATGTGGCGGTGGTTCCTTGTCTCCGCCTTCATAATGGTACACCTCAGCCAGGTATTGACAATCCTCACTCATTAGTGATACCATGAGTTTGACATAGCGCTCACGATCTTCAATATCAATAGCAACAAGAGACCCTCTGTCCCAAATGCTATCAAATTCTCCCTCCATTTCTCTGCTGAATTTGAAGAAATCTCCCACATAGATTCGTATTTTGTTGTCTAAGTCCTGGTAAAGCTTGCCATCAATAGCAGGGACGTCGGTGACAGTGTACTGTATATCGTTTTCTGTGAAGAAAGACTGGACAGCAAGTTCTGATGCCTCCACACCAACAACAGTATGTCCTTGGTCAGCAAGCCTAGAATAACAAATAAAACCTTAGATTAAATTTTCTCAATACACATCATTTACAATATTATGTAAAACATTTCCTATTCATTTTTTAATCAAACTAAAATTTTGTAGATTTAAAGTAAGGGAAACCTTGAGACTTTTAGATATAGAGCACAAAGGCAGAAACACTACAATTATTTCATCTGAGCTTTTTAACTGTATCTTTACACTTAAATTACAATATTCAAGAATAAAAAAACACAAAAATGCTAGAGGCTAATCAACCGAACCAGTTACTATACTCACCATTTCATGTCCAAGCTTTTTCCACACAAAGGAAAAAATATCTTGGCGTTGCTCTTTCCCGCCAAAAGTCGGTCCAAATGTTTCACCAGTAGCTGGTGAACAACGGTTTTGTGCCAACGAGCTTGGCCTTCGACCCATTTTGACTTCCACGCGTCCAAATCTTTACCGGCCTTTGGGTCCCCACTCATCTTGCTACTCTGAGAGATACAAATCCACTTGTTAAAAGATGCAGCTGAATATTTGATAGTCTTGATAAGCGAAGATCGCTGTTGTTGCAGTGCTTCGGACGAGTGTGATATTTGAAACTTGGGATTCGTCCAGTGTCGATAGTGGCGATATGACAACGATGACTCGACACAAAAATTTGGTTTCCTGTACACGGCAGAAAACGTCCGGGAAAAGTTTACAGTAACATGTGCAATATTTCTTCGGCGAATGTGCAAGTTAAGAGTATCAAGTGACAATAAGTTCCATTTCATCGACATACAAAGCTGGAAGCACACCTAGCCGGAACTACCTCCCGCAAACCTGCTCAAATCACAGTTGTGTAACTTCTACTCAGCTCGGGTACTGTACTGTACTCGACTGCCAATTGAAATCTAATTCTATGTTTTAATGTGAGACTCACACCGTTTCATTGCAACACAGATTTTCAAAGAGTTGACCTACATTTTCTACAAATTAAAATATGTTTATTTACCTTTGAAAAGAAAACTACTCTGCAAAACACGTGCAGGTAGCAGGGTAAAGGTCAATGGTTTGTTTACAAACTTCAAGTGAGGTCAACTGCGTCTGCGCGAAATTGGTTAGAACTATAAACGAGATTCATTTAATTGAAATCGAAATAATGTTATAAAACATGTTAAAATAAGCTAAATCATTGATAATGAATATTTATCAAAATATTTGACGGTACTTGCTCAAGTCAGTTTCTTATTCATTTTGTTCGTTTCGTATACGATTACGTCCCAATTTTAGGTAATCCCCGTTGCCAACAGGATGGACAACTACAAGGTGCACGTCTTAGGTTTTGGATATTAAGTGAATTAAAAAGTTGTTCTTTTTCTATAGATTTCTTCCAAATTGAACTTGTGGGTAATTTTACTATTTATCTTTGATAATTGACGTGTTTTGTTTGCATTGCAGGTAATAAAGAGGCTTGGCAAGGGTGCCCAAGGTGCCGTCTTTCTGGTGGAGCACAAGCAGCAGAATAAGCAGTATGTCCTCAAAAAGGTAAAAATAAATGTTCATAAATCATAATATAATCGCCCCAGGAGAAGTTTTTAATGATCCCCTTTGTTGTAGATTTTTTGAAAATTGTGAATAATAAGAAAGTGTATATTTATGAAATCTGCACAAGCTTTGGGTACATAAATAAAATAACACTAATTAAATTTAGTTCAATTCAATAATTGTTCACTGTACTTGTCTGTACTGTACATGCATTAGTACAGACTAGTCCGAATGTTCGGTATGAAATATTTATTTTTGTATTATTTATCTTCTTGATAATGAAAAGACAGATAGGAACCAGAGAGGCTGATTATGTTTTAGGGTTACGATAATTCTCAGTCCAAGTGTACTATAATTAATGTTTCAGTAAATGCGGTACATGTAGTCTTGTATGGTCTAACACTTGCATTGCTTAACAGTGAAGTATTGCAATAAAGATGTGAAAAATAATAATTTGTTCCAGATGTATATACTTGAGTCTGTCAAAATCTTATTCCCGACCTAATCCAGCAACACAGTAGATAGTACAGTATATATATATAAGAATTTGTATTTGTATAGGATTGACTGAAAAAGTTATGTAGCATAATGCAGCTGTATGAGTTTCCTCATAGACTTGACAGGTCTGTATTTGTTCTCAGTCTGACACTGACAATGACTTCATGTTCAGTAGTGCATGTTACTTGTTCTGACCAGTTTCACCCTGCAGAATTGCCAAGTGAAGTGAATTCAAACTATGGTTTAGGTTTTATAGTAGCCCTTGATTATACTATCACTCTATTAAAAAAGGAATGCAGCTAGGATATATAAACAAATACATAAATACATAAGTAAATAAATAAACAGAAAAGTGTGAATGTAAATTAATTAATTAAAAAACTATAAGATCTCAGCAGAATTATTTGAATGTTCATGAAAAGTGACAGCTACATATGAAGCCTTACATGTAGGAAAATTTTATCTTAACTCCATTTGCCAGCTAGTACGTATATTTAGAGATATCAGTCCAGAATACTCCCTGTCCAGAATTGTGACTGTTTCTGTCATAAAACTATTGATTTAGCCATAAATAAAGAGCACACCTTTATCTTAGATATGTGTACACCTTTGCTTTAGCTGAAATGTATTGATTTACTAGCATCAGAGATTTGTTTATGGGCTAATAAAACTAGCCTCATGGGTCTTGCCAGCTGCTATTGTCACAGAGTTTGGTTATTTTAACCTCAGAAAATATTATTGTCTACATAATGTGTTGAATGCACTTACTATGAGAAATTGATTTGTCTAACAATCTGAATCAATATACTGGTATGTTTTTAAAAATATGTTTCACTGCAGGTCATGTCACTAGTAGGTCATAAAATTGGTAGATATTATTGATCTTTATGTTTGATTCGTTGACAGAATCTACATGGTAACAGTCAGCAATTTCACAAGAATTCTTTCTCCTGTCTTCCCAGAAGGCCTATTTTGTTTATTAAGTATAGTGTGTTTTTTTAAACAGTGAAAGACTTGACAGTTTACAATAGATTTAATGAAGTATGGATAAATTAAATTGTATGTAGGAAAATGCTATGGTCAAAGGCTAATTTAATAATTATTTCCATTATTAGTATGATTACAATTGTATTCTGTATTTTCTTCAGGTTGAGTGCAATGATGAAAGTGAGGCAAACAAGGCTTTCATGGAGGTAAGAATACATTATGTGATACATTTTATGCACTTGTACAGTAAGCAGCTGTAACACTGTTGAGACTTTAGATCACTGACCAATGACTTTGTCTCAGGTTGTGATAATTTCAGTACAAGTCAATAGGAAATGGTCAGTGAAGATTCACCACCTGTCACTGGCCAGTAATTAACAAATCACATTGTAAGTACCTGTATGTTGACTTGCAATACATTCAGAAACACCTGAACAGATAGATACATAGGCTGTAATACCAATACTTGGCATGAAAGTTTTTTTGTATTTCGTCTGTGATTTGAATAAAGTCAAGGAATATTGACCATGACAATCTTATTTAGTTAATTTGGCAGTTTTAAAAAGTTACATGCATGTAGGGAGGTTTATGGGCAACCGATTTCCCTAACCATTATTCAACTCAAATTTTTTAGATCATCATTTTATGATTTTATGACGAAATGTTATTTTTTTCACCAGAGTTACAAAGAGTATATACATAACAAAAAAATGCATGGTTTAGCATAAGGTGGCAGTGAATGAGGTTATAGTTAGGAGCTAGACATTATTGTTATAGTGTATAAAGGGTACAGGTAAGTTCATAAAGACAGAATTGGCATTGTTTGATTTTAATATTTGAATGTATGTGTCAACTTATTGTTTGCACATTGTGTGGGTTTAATTCACCAAGGTTTGTGTCAATTACCCAAAGGTTTTCAGTTTTTTCAAATCTGGTATTTTGTTATTTATATACTTCAGGGCGCCTTACAATTCTATTCCTGAGCTTTTGTTATTTTCTTTTGCCATCCCTTGTGCAAAGTTCTGTTTGAATGTGGTTGAATACAGACATTGTATGGCCTCACGTCAAGGTGGCTGGATAGGGTTCATTATAATTCATTTCTTGGCTTATCGATCCTCCCAACATCTAGGAGTTAAGAAATACAAAAAGCTGTTGTTGGTGTGTAGTTCCAAAATATTTCATTAAGCTGATAATCCAAGTTTCTTTTTGCTATTTGTGACAGCTTATCATCATGGCAGTTTACGTTATCAAAAGTTAGTTTGCAAGTCAAATACAGTCTCAAGTATGCCGTCTATAGTGTTATAAAGTGTGGACACAAGGACTGGTAGAAACTGCTTTGTAAACAGAGCTATTATATTAAGAGTAGCAAGGTCAAACCCAGCTGAACTGATGCTATGATAAAACTTGTTTGTTACTAAGGATGACTTACATGTAAATTATATATACCAGCATATGTATCGATCATAAAATACTAGTACATGTGTACTTAATCTTCCTAGGCAGCACCCAGCACTGTTAATTATAATTGTTGTTGTTGGTTTATGTTTATCTTCAGTATGACCAAGGAGTTGTATGTGATCTCATACAATTCTTTGGTTTGATGGCTCCTAAGTAGTATGAGATAATTTATAATGAGAGAGAGAGAGAGAGAGAGAGAGATATGAAGCAATAGTAAATAGTATATATTTTAATTCAGACAATAAATGTTTGGTCATGCACAGAAGGATTAATATATGTTATGTACATATTTACATTGCTTCCTCTTCAGGCCATGGCCCTCAAAGAGTTACAGCATAGAAGTGTTTGTGGGTACAGAGAATTCTTTGTACAGTGGGAAAAAGAGGTAAGTACTGTACATGCCAGGAAATCTGTTGTAATTATATACTTGCAATATATTTTTTTGTTAATTCATACAGAAAAACTCCAGCTTAGATCAAGTTATTTATTTGTCCTTTTTACTTTTTTTTTTTTGGTAAATTTAAGAATCATGTAAGCAAGTTTTCGTTAAATATGTAATGTTATATGCAATGTTGTGTTAAATTTAGTTTTGATGTTAACTTAAGAAATACTGTATGTGTTTGAAAATTACCTAGAGTCATTTTTTCTATGTCTACCGTACATATCCTGCAAAGCCAATAATCTTTAAAAACAATAAAACTCCTCAAAATAAAGTATGTGACATAGACAGTGCCTTCTGAAATGTGCAGGAAGACATGGTGTAACAGTTTTGCTAAATCATTGAATTTTAAATGGAATGAAACACGGAATCCAAATTCCGGGATGGGTCGGGCAATGTTTCATGAGTAGGAGAAATTTGCCCTTTTCTCCAAAGAAAATTCATTCTGGTGCTTAAATCCAGAGTACCTTTAATTAAGGCAATATTTAATTCTAATTTCCACCTTGTCGCGTAATTTGTTCAGTTATTTTTGGCATTAAATGTATTTTAAAGACATTAAAATGACATTGTTGAAAATTTGGTTCCAGGAGTCTGCCATGTTTGTGTGTATAGTGATGGACCATTACAAACTTGGGGATTTAGAAAAGGTGCTTAAACAGAAGAGAGATAAGAAAGAAAACATCGAAGAACTGGTGAGTTTTAGCATCCCTATGCACACGAAAGTGAAAATTCTTTAAGGCTAGTTAATTTGCTGTTTTTGGGGTAGTGTTACAGTGGCCTGTGTTTTGGTGTACCTGTTATTGAGATAACCTTCAAAAGATGATATGAATTCCAAAAACTAGTTCAGACGTACCACATTATATACTAGTAATCTGTTTACTTTGTATATATCAGGTGATATATGCCAACAGAAGTCATATCTTTTGCACTGTTACAGATTATTAAAAAGTGGCTAGGCCAGATAGTGGAGGCCCTGGTGTTTGTTCACAAAAAAGGTATAATCCACAGGTAAGTTCATCTTATATCAGCAATTGAAGTAAGTTGAAAGAGTGGGGATTAACTCCTTTGTCTTAGTTTAATTTTGAACCCCATGTTTTTTTTTTTGTTTACTTTTACTTTTATCAAAATTGATTATTTTTTTATCGTTTTTATCATGGAAAAAAAAAACAGAATGACTCCAGTGGTTCTTTTACTTTGCTATGACAGGAAATGTTGCTTATCGTCAGATATACTCACAGCAGGTAACATCTTCTTGCTATATTTCTAGGGACTTAAAACCTAGTAATATCTTCATGAAGGAGGACCTGAGTATATGCTTAGGTGACTTTGGTGTGGCCACAGTGATGGGGGATGCCAGGACTAAAACTAGGACCACAGTGGGTCAGTATACATGTAGCCTATATTACCAGTGTCAGAAATTGGGTTTCATTTAATTAATGGCTAATTATCACTGCGTCAGTTTTTGATTAGTTTTGTGTTGGATGTAACACCCTGTAGTGTTGAACATTGACTTAACAATGGGATGTACCACAGTCTGTGCATTTCTTTTTAATTTGTGTATAAGAGTACTTAGTTTCTATTCATTTTTTCATAACGTGATTCTAAGTTGAGGTCTGATGCCCATGAATCGGATGGTCATGCTGTTACTTATTATTGAGTTCTTGGTGATATACTACAGGGGTCCAGTTGTATTTCTGCTGTATAAAAATCCACCTGTGTTCTGTCTGACTTCAGGTTCCATGAACTGGATGGCGCCAGAGGTTCTGGAGAAACCATATGATGAGAGAAGTGATGTGTGGTCCGCTGGGTGCATATTACTGGAGATGGCCACATGTGGACGGCTCATGAAACAAGAAATAGCACAGAAGCTGTTTGAGATAAAGAATGATCCACAAGTACTAGAACAAGTTTTAGAAGACATTCAAAAACAGGTTAGTTCAACAGGTTGTATTTTAGACATTCTTTATTTTTATTAATTGTCTTCTTAGATTTATTTCCTGGATGCACACTTTTATTTATTTCCTTCATTTTAAATTTTTTTCAAATATTTGATTTTATCATCTGTGTCCTCAATATTCGGATTAAAATGCAAGACTTTAATTTTTTTCACAGTAACTATACAGGTTTAACATTTAATGAAATAGCCTTTATTAGTGTTATGATTACTGTATTTGTGTTATCATACTCATGTTTATATAAGGATATTTTTATTTAACTTTTAGAAATACTCTGCTGATTTGGTTTCTTTGATCCGTATCATGCTGAGAAGAAATTTTAAGCAAAGGCCAACAGCGGTGTAAGTATTATAGAAATCTAATGTGAAATTATATTTTTTGGCAATATGTCATATTTTATGTTCATCAGTCACATAATGTAGTTTTAGGTAGACTGAAATGTAAAATGTAGACTCAATATTGAATAATTAGTGATTAGAAAACATATTGTAAATCACGAAGTCAATGACATTTTTTAAAAAAGTTATCCATTAGGTACTTTATATGTACTTTCCCTTGAAGGATACTTGAGAATTTGCTGAAATATGTCTTAAATGTTTGCTTCAATATTTCTTGCATGGAAATCACTTCTAAAGGGAATATATTTTTTTCTCATTTTATTTTAGGGAGCTGTTAGATCTGCCCTATATACAAGACTGCCTTGTGTTATGTGACTCTGAACTTGCAGAGAAAAAGAAGAAAAAACAATCTAGTAATCAGGAGAAGAGTAAGTTTTTATTTATTATCATTTGTGTGTGTGTGTGTATATATATATATAAAGTGATTCAAAATTCTTATTGAATACCGGTTACAAGAAGTACATGTAGATATTTCCACTTCACAGGACAGTAAAATGTGTTTTGCATTACTGCAGAAACAACTGTATTTGGTGGTATTGACCACTTCCCTAGAAAATTTGATGTAAAATCACTTTTTAAGAAAGAATGGCATGTATGGATATTGAACATTAAGAACAATTATACTGAAAACTGCTCACATATCTGCCAGTGCACCCTGGTTATCCCAGTCTGTGGGAGACTCACCTCGGTAACCAGCACCATTGCCTTTCCTTATAGCTAGCTATTACTGCACTGATGATTGAGAGCATAGGCCTAGATTATCAGGGTGATGATGTCATTATCACTTTTTTTCCCTCAGAGCCAGTCCCTAAGGACCAGGGTGTGCCTCCTGTGCTGAGTTTCATCAGAGAAAACATCAATAATGACGGCAGTGTACGGGATGCCCTAGAATACTTAGCTGCACTCACTAAACAGGAAGGAATTACTGTCACAGATGATGGAAAGAGACTGATAGCCAAAGCTATGAATGCCAATCTCAAAGACTTACATATACAGATTGCAGCATGCAATGTTTTAAATAATCTCATCATATCAGGTAGGTTTTGATTTTGGGAAATGTGGAAGTGGGACAGATTTCAAATTGATAATTTTTCATTTGGTTTGAAGTTTGTAAAATAGTGTCAAACATTATGTGTTGATCACTTTTGTGTTTTCTACAATATTCTCATCAGTTACTGTACTTGCTGAGCCGAGTTGCCAAAGACAGTTCGCAATACTCTGTGTCTTGTCTCAGTCAAGATGTATGTAATTGTCTAAAAACAGCAACTTACTTTCTTAGAATATGTTTGTGATTTGGCAAAAATGTCAAAAGATGCTTATTACATAGGAGTTCAGCATATAGTTTAATGTACATGAATATTTATAGTTGAAAGCAGCTACTTGGAATGCCATCTTTAGAATTGTGTTTTTTTTTTTTAATTTTAGCTGATCCAGATGATGCATTATACTCCAAAGAGATTATAAAACAAGTTTATCTTGCCATGAAGGTGGGAATGAAGAGATGCAAGAAATTTCATGTAGAAATTGAAATTTTAATTAGAAAGTTGAACTTTAGAGGATGAATTTTTAATGAGAGATCAAAATATTAATTTTTGCAAACAAAATATTTCAAGAGACACAGCATAGCAATTCTAGAGTATAATGCTATAAGTTTTAAAGTATAATGTTCATGCAGTAGAGGACATATTGTGCATGTTGCTGATTGAAAGTACATTTTTATATGCATAAACTTCTTTTCAGACTCACTCTGCAGAAGCAGCACTTCAGCAGGTAGCCTGCTCCTTGTTGATGGCTTTTTCATCTAATGGTGAGTATCCTTGTTGTGTATAATTCTTGATATGTTAGCTGTATTGTACAGTACTCATTTGGTCCAGGAATAATGATATGAGGGTCTATTAGTATTGGAGTGATTGTGCTAGGTGTGTCAGCTAGAGAGATGTGATCGCTGGCTGTCATTGAGGGAAAACAAATGCAATTGTTGAATGTACTAATAATGTGAAGGGTGGGAGGCTAAGGAAGCCAGGTGTGGCAGATGTGTTATTTCTTGTGAGGTGCTACATATTGTGACAGTATTGAGTGGGTAAGTCAGTCAGGATAGACATTGTTAGTTGTGACACTGTGATCATAGTAAAACTGTATGTACTGTAATTATCATTAGAAAATTTTGATTATACACTGTATGTTTGATTATACACTGTATGTTTCCCCAGAGCAAGCAGCTGAGGTGATAGGAGAGAGTGGTGGGATTCAGGAGGTCCTGGCAGCTATGAGGTCATTCCCAGGAAATGCTACTCTGGTGGCCACTTGCTGTAATGCACTCTGGAGTCTAGCTGTCAATGGTATGTGTTAATGGTTGAAAATATAAGAAAGTAATTGTAAACATGAGATTTCAAATCAACAGTACAAGAAATACTAGTACACTTGAACACGATTTTCTTTCACAAACATCACACTGTACCTTAAAGTGTATCATAAAGTAGAACAGCAAGGTGAATAATTCATGAAGTACATGACTCAATCTGACAAAAGATAAAATTATGTGTTTTTGATTTTCTATATCATTCAGAGCAACAATGCTGACAATCAATTAATAGTTAATCACGATGGATAATATATGTTTATATTTCAGAAAAAAATTCCAAGATATTAGCTGAAGAGAAGGGTTTACAAGATGTCTATAATGCTATGGTGACACATGCAGACCATGTAGATTTGATAGAGGCTGCATCAGCTGCCATGTTGTCATTGTCCATGGAGGGTCAGTTGACATTACCATTTTATTTATTTTTTGTCCAGGTGTTCAAAGTTATATTATAATTAACAAAAGGTATATTCTCATGTTAGCAGCTGTCTGAAGGTTATACAAAATGGTAGGAATGGGGAATGTTTAGACATGTCTACTATAGATTGAGTGGCAGTGGGTGTAGCTTGTATCATCAGACAACAGACAACTGCTGTGCACTATCCTTTTTTTGTAACAAATATTCCTTGTGTGAATGCAGCAATAATGCTGCTCATACTATTGATTAATATTTACATGTTTCATATTATATCTGTTATTTCAATATCTGTGTTAATATTCTGGCCAGCTAATGATGGGTTTAGGAAACTATTATAGAGATTATACTCATGTTCCAGATGACAACCTAGAATACCTTGGTAATCTGGATTGCGTGGGGCTCCTGCTCAGTGCCATAGAAACTCACAAGAAGGAAGCCAAGGTAGTCAAGAATGCTTGCATGGCTCTGGCCAGCTTAGTAGAGCCAGATGGTGAGTAAGGGGGTCCGGAGAAGTGATCTGTTAGACCATTTTGATGATAATTAAATTGTGTCTTACTGGTATGGGACATGTAATTACCCACTTAATTCAAATAAAATTGATTCATGATTTTACCGAAATGAACAGTATGTCAAAGATTCAAATAAAGGAGAGTTGAGTTGGCTTCTTGTCAAAAGGTATTGTTTTATAACTGAAAATAATAAACCTTGAAATGATAAAATCTTAGAATAGGCAAGGTGCTTGCATCGTGTTTTTTATTTAGTCAGACATTATTATTGGCTTTTGAAGATTTACTTGTTTATAGTCTCAATATAATGCATTATTTGCACTGATTACAATTCAGCATACATATTACAGCCACACGTGCCTGTACAATGTTTATTCATCATTTTTTTTCTATCATGTGTATAAGTCTTTTTTGTAGCCAATAGACCTATTTGTCTTGTTCTTGTGCAGACTTTCGTCGCTGTTAAATGTCATAGAAGTTGATTTCAATATTTTTCCAGAGGAAAGTGCCTACAAAGTACTGAACAATGACCGTGATGGTGTGAATGTGGCAGGTATACCTATCATTAAAGAGGTGTATACTCAACACAGAGACAATGCAGAGGTTGTGGAGAATATCTGTACTCTATTTATGGAACTCACAGAATATGGTATGTACTTTATTAATTTGATAAGAATGTGGTATTTTATTTAGTATTCCAGACTTAATTTTCATTCAGTAGTACAATTAAAAGCTGTTTTATTGTTTTTTTTGATACAGGATAGCCCAAAAGAGATTTTATTTGCTTAGTGTATTTTGTGTTAATATAAATTCTTGTAGGCTTGCAGGCCTTGAAATATGCTGGCATTTATTTTCTAGATGATATTTGTTTTGAAATGAAGGACCAAGGTGTTGGCAGTGTGTTAAATGAGATTCATAATAGGTTTAGTAAGAATGAGGTGAGAAGGTGCACTATGATTGGACACCCTAGTGTATCTTGTGATACTGTAGCTTATACTGGATTGGTCAGAAAATATGTGCAGATGACCTTTAACCTTGGGTTCTCATTGGCTGAAGTCGATCCCGTGGTTAGCTTTAGCAGTTCACAATAACACGTAACACTCTTACCAGTAGTGCAAGCTTCTTAGGCTACAGCTTTGAGAATGTCACCTTAGCCTAGACCAATTTTTTATACAATGAATGTTATGCTTACCAAGTATATTGAATCCTAATATATAGTAAAGCCAGTTACAGCTACATATAGTTTAGTGATGTGTGATATGACTAATTTTTAAAAAGATCTTACATGCATGTAGCATATATTACAAAATATAACTCAGAGCATAAACTGTATGCAAGTTCAGACAGATGCACAATTTCTCAAAGAAATTATGTTCACCTTATAGTCATAATATTATTTATTTATTTCTTAATTTATTATAGATTAATAAAAATATTTTGATAAAAATTAAAAGAGATAGGAAAGGTGACAGTAAAACATTATTTCACCCAAGGTCTTTTTCAAGTACTTACTAGTACAAGTGCTAGTTCAGTGTTTGCCTTATTATACTGTGACCCATAAAATTTGTTTATATTAGGACCATTATTAGATAACATTTTTTCCCCTTAGAAATAAGACATTTATTGTAAAATTTATTGCCTTTAATTATTATTATCATGTTTCATTTCACTATCATTTATGTTAGGGTAGGAAGACAGTAATTTAATTTTTATAACATGTATCCGGCCTTTGAGACAAAGCACAGGGTGTTTGAATGGAGAACAGGAGAATTAAAAACTGCAACAAAATTCTCGAAAAAATGCCCCTTCAAATGCCACAAGGCCATGAAACCAAGTACCAGTACCAGTGATATGATATGATATGATATGATATGATATGATATGATATGATACAATGAGCCGATTGAGACATTCAGAATAAAAAAAAAACAAGTCAGAGAATTCCGTTGTTTTCATAAAATCAATATTGAGTTTCTTTTGTATAAGTTGATTCTTTTTTACCTTTGCTATGTGAAAAGCATCAGAGCATATTTTCAGTTGGGAATTTAGAAAAAATTGAAAACTTAATAGCTCTACAGGGAGAATGCTTTCCTTATACCAAAGATCAAAAATGGTGCCTAAATGCTGGCCCCTCACAAAGTACGCCACTCCAAAAAGTTGAAACAGGGATGAAACCCTGGTCATGTACTAGTAGTTTTGAATTATTCTGAGTGCTGTACCAGGTCAGTGCAGAAGCCTTGGTTATATGTTCCTGAGGGAGGTGAGATCTATTCATAATTGAACAGATCCATAATAACGTGGGCTTACATTGGAAAGCCAGCTGATCTTTTTTTAAGCAAGGAAATCATGCCTTAAAACCAATCTTCACCTTTTACCATTATCTCTGGGGATGAACAGAGTGTTACATCTCCAGCTGGTCTTAAGTTAGACCATGCATAGTCTATACTGGCTTATCACAGTTAGCATTCTGCTGTTGGTCTTGTTCACCTGAGAGGATATTTGTGTACAAGTACTTCAACACCCACATGCCATTATTGCTGCTTTATTTACATACTCCCACTTTGTTCATCATGATGATTATATTTTCACCAGTGAAAACTCTCTTCTTCAATTTGCTTGTAGACCACCATCACAGCTCACATACAATTAATGCACCAATATGTTCTTGCCCCTTATCTTGCTAGCTTCCAATGACACCTCACTGCTCATATTCATTGAATATTATTCTTTGTCTTTGCACTGTAGAAGATATAAGAGATGAACTACAGGCACTAGGTATAGATGGTATATTAAAGGAAGTTCAAAAACGCTACAAAGAAAATGGGGTAAGGTTAACTTTCTAGACATTTAACATATTACTACTTACTAGTTGATCTGATTTGCACTTATGTTTAATTTTTGATTTGGTTTTTTGTTTAGTGTGGATTGTGTGCATTTTTGTCATTAACTTTGGTTTATTTTTGTGAATTTTTTTAAATGTATAGAACTGATAATTTTAATTGGTTTCAGCTTAATTCTTTTTTGTTTCAAAATTTTCTTTGGATTTCTTATTTTCAGTTTGTTTTGAAATGATCAGCTTTTCTGATTGTCTTTTATTTGATAGTATTGATTTTATTTCTATTTAGAATTCATATACAAGTCTCAAATCTTTAAATATTTGTTCAGAGTCTTTTTTCTTCTATTCGTTTTGTAGCATTTTACTTTTTAGCCTTGAATTTAAATTATATAGAATAAAAATGTTCAATTTAATTGTATTTGATATCAATGTAGTCTTACTACATGTGTATGTCTCAGTAAATCATTGATTTTATTATGTTAATGAGTTAAAATTTTAAATATCAGTTTTTAATCTGTGACTATATATATATATATATATATATATATATATATATATATATGCAGGGATTGGTTGCATCATCAAATATGTCTCCAACTTCTTGATGTCTTTCTTTCTAATATTACATCTAATTTTTATTCCGGGAAGTAATCTTTTTCTAATTTGAATTTTTCATTTCCTTTCAAATGTTTCCTAGCTATAAATCATAACTAATCAATAATCATAATTTACCATTTCCTAGGATGTTATGGCTCCATGTGAGGCTGCCTTGGCCAAGCTGGGAGGTGGCAAAGTCAAGTCCAGACCCATATCTGCCAGAAACAGGAAATCATAGTTATAACGCAGGAACGGATAGTCCTACTAAATGCAGGGAAATGTAGTCCAAATGATTGGCACTAGGTTTACCAATGTCAGGTTTATCACTGGAGAAAGGAAAGTTCTACAGCTTGCAGAAGTCACATTTGCCAGTAGATATTGCAGTATTTAACTGAGCTCAAAATTGCTGAATATGACCTTATGTACAATGGTTAAGGGATAAGCTATATATATGGGATACATAGGGGCTTTTTTCTTAAAATTCTTAAAATTTGCTGCTGTATTTTAACAACCATTGCACACAAGAATATTTAGATGTCTTTATAGCATTATAAGATGATTTAATTGTCATCATATTTTCAGCAGATAAGGGTATCCTAAGATATGATAAAGTAAAAAGGATGTGCTGAAATAGTAAAAAGACCAAAAAAAAAGAAGAAAAAAAAACTCCCACTTACCTGCAGTAGTTTGATAAGTACTGGGCTGTAGTTTGATATTCTTAACAGGGGTAGCAGCAGTCATCACATTACCAGTTCTAACTATTCTTTTCCCAGAGAGAGGTCACTATGTTCAGATTTATTAATCACGTTTGTGAAACCCAGCCATGTGCTGTTTTACTGGAAAACATTTGAAAAACTGCATGGTATCCCAGTGTCATTGTACATACCATTCCAGCTGGTCAAAATTGTCATAACTCATTTGTATTAGAATTGGTGCCTCACAGTTCACCTTGTGTTGTATGTTGGTGCATATGTTGATTTATAAGAACAAACCCATTGTTTTGTGTTTATCTTTCAACAATAATTTAAATGAAAAAATTATTAAGACAAAGTAGTGCTTGTAGAATATTTGGAGATTTTTTGTGAATGCGTGCATGATTCTGTTTGATGAAAGTTGACAATTTCAGAGCTGTGAAAATTGCTACTTACTCTGTTTGCTTTGCAAAGAAAAGTGACACCAACTTTTTTTTTTCTCCGTCCAGTTGCTGAGGCTCCATTAGTCCAAATCATAAGAGCATAAAAGCCGTCCACTTATATGTATTGACAGGGTGGGGGGTCTCAGTTGTAAATATATCATTGTTAATCATCTGTATAAATATTATATTTTTACTTTCATGTTTTACGTGAATAATCCGTATTTTGACATCTAGATTACTAGTATTTAACAATCCTAGAAATGATTTGTTTGAGCTATATGGAATGATTGTCATAAGTTTTGAAGATTTTCTCAAATTATTTTTGATCAATTCAGAATTATTTACAGTGAGGTTAAAAAAGCATATATGTTTTCCACTTCTTATTAAAGTTTTGCTAAACTTTATCTCTACAGTTTTTTTCATTCAATATCCATGTAACATAGCAGGTCTTAAAATTCCATGACACCTGTGATTTTATTTAACAATACAATTTAATGTAATTTGATATTATTTTTCAATAAAAGAGTATTCTATTCCTTATAAATATATTGGTTCTTGCCTTAATCAATTATGAATATTTGAAAAATATATTAAATCAGGTCTAATTTTCCTACCACAAATTACAGAGTGCTAACAATGAAAGCGAAACTTGTAAAGTGACTGCTAAATGTCAAGTGAGTTTTAAAAATCATTTAGCTTTTGTATTCTATGGGTAGATTTAGACACTGAAAAGGCATTCTCAAAGCAATTGAAATAGTCACAAAAACGATTTGATGTCATAATGTCCAACACAGTCAATTATCTTTTCTTATTCAGATCTTAAAATGGGGGAAAACTCAAAAATAAAAAAAAAAAAAAAAAAACGAAACGAAATAAGATTCCTGATGTTATTAAAATGTTCTATATTGTCAAGTCTGATAGAGTTAAAAAGAATCATGATTCAATTAGAACTATTTTTTATTTAAATATTAGAATGGTGCTTAATTGATAGATGGAAAAAAATCATCAAAAATTTTGCAGAAGTTCTCAATATTTTAGACGTTCTAAAATTCCCAGGTCTCACAGTGTTTCCAGTGGCATTGACAAACTCGCTCATGGGTTTCACTGGAGTCCATGCTAAGAAATGTCAACATCGATCTTAAACCTGGCGCGCTTTCCCTTGTCAACCACAATGTCAACAATAAAAGTAGGTCACCACAGGTAAGCCTTTGTGGACCTTATCACCTCTATTGTGATTTTACAGGTGAGCATCATGCTGCCATCTTACTGTGTGTTACACTCGTGTTGAACACATGTTGTCGCAACGTAATTCATAATTGTCTTTAACGTCCCACTCGAAATATCCACCAAGGCGTATGTGAGCGTTGAGGACATGTACAGCGTAGACGATGTAGCGAAGGTGGTGCTTACGGTGTCTATAATGGTGGTGTTTACGGAGGTGGCTGTCAGTGTTTTCTGGAATTACATGACTGGATTTGATGGTAGGTGAACGTACGTACGTTGGTTAGAAGAAGCCGTTGGAGTAATATTATCATCCAAAAATTAAATAACATACACAATTTTGTAGTAAAATATGAATATTGGGAGCGGATTCAGGATTATTTGAAGGGGGGGGGGGCGCCGATGAGAAGCCGACCCTCCCCCCTTCTTGGCGTGGGGCCCGCTGAAGGGCCCCGAAAAATTCCTGTATTTTAGAGGGCGAACGGTGCCATTTGGTACGGTTTAGAACTATGATTCAGCTAGTCAAAATACTAATTTTAAGAGGGGGCAGTTGGATTTTCAGAAGTCGAAGGGGGGGGGGGGGGGGGGGGGGATCCAGAGTTATTTTTTGACAGGTTTCCAATTTTTTTTT